AAACAAAAAAACCAACAATCAACAATTGTAGATGATTGTCTAAAATATCAAAAAATAAAAAAACAAAGAAAAACAAAGCAAAGTGTTCTTCTCAGGTGGAGGGAGAAATTGAGGGACGACTACTCAACTATCTGGGCACTCAGGTTTAGAGAACGGAACATGTAACCTAAGCTATGCTGTAAGTCCATCATCACCTAACTGTACAGCAAGAAAAAGAAATTAGATAAAACAAAGTATAGGCTGAAACCTCCCATGAACACAGCTTCAAAATCTACAAAAATTATCATCATGCAATATGTAAACCCAGTCCTGAACACAAAGTCATCTATGACATCATATTTGTGAGACATTGCTGAGTATATTATGATATTATCACCATGAAAAGCATTTACTAAACGTGAATTGTTCATATCATACCCTGCTGTTAGCCATGAGACTGTATTATAAAATGAAAAGAATACCTCATGGTAAAGTAGCATTTAACCATTCATGTAAATTCCATTCAACATTAAAATTGTATGATACTGACAAAGTGAAAATTAAAAAAAACATGCATAATGGAGATAATTTTGATGAAGAATTAGCATTTGCCCATGTCCCACAATCCTTATTCATAGGCGCTTACAGGAAAATAGGAAAACAGGACTTCCAGAGTTAGAATAAGTTCATGTACAAAAACACTGAAGTTAGCATCATATTGAATTGTGAGAAAGCATACGTTTTGCATTACATTCTGAAGAATGTAACAGAATCTTCTCTCTTCACACATTTTCATCTTTGTACTATAAGAATTAGCAAACACAAAAACAGTAGTAAATAACCATTCCAAGTATAGGGAGAGAGAGAGAGAGAGAGAGAGAGAGAGAGAGAGAGAGAGAGAGAGAGAGAGAGAGAGAGAGAGAGAGAGAGAGAGAGAGAGAGAGAGAGAGAGAGAGAGAGAGAGAGAGAGAGAGAGAGAGAGAGAATTAATTTTCATTATCATTGCTTGAAGATAACATGATTGTCTATGAAGAAATTTTGAATCACTGTGTGACATGTCATCCTAGCAGGATGATTCTTGGATGACAGATCTGCATGTCAATTGCTTTTGCATGTATGAGGGAGATAGGCAGTGGAAATGAAATGAAAAAAACACATCAATGTCATGCAACACTTCCCATCCTTACACTTGTGATGTTACGTTGTTATTGTCAAGGTGTCTTTGATGGGGATATTTATAGGGCTCAGCAAATGCTGCAAATGAGAACTTGTGTTAAGAAAAAACCACACTATCTTGCCAGAGAGTCCTTATTACACCAGTGTGACAATGTTGACTTTATATTTAAGAAGTCACTCTATGAGGAACATGTGTTGAAAGATGGAAAGTTTGGAGGGTGATGGAGAATTTTTCTGCAGCACAGTCAAAATGACTGTGAGTTTACTCATCATTTTTGTTATTGAGGCATCTTCTTTATGTGTAGCCCAACAGACAGAGGCTCCTGCTATAGAGAACATGGCAATTTATAAAAAATGGAAAATGGGGCTGGAGAGATGGCTCAGAGGATAAGAGCACTGACTGCTCTTCCAGAGGTCCTGAGTTCAATTCCCAGCAACCACATGGTGGCTCACAACCATCTGTAATGAGATCTGGTGCCCTCTTCTGGTGTGCAGATAGACATGGAAGCAGAATGTTGTATACATAATAAATAAATAAAATCTTTAAAAAAAGTGGAAAATGGCTCATGAGTGGGAGGGAAAGAAAAAAGTGTTCAGAAATGGGGACCCATGCCAGGCAGATAGGACAGCACATTCCTTCACTTTATAGATACAGAAAAAAGTTGTGTCAATCAGCAAATGTCCACAGTAAGTAAAGGGGTGTGAGGTCATTTGCTGAGGAAGGATCTCCTCACAACACTGACACCTTCCTCTGCACCAAAAACACATTTTCTCCCTGGATATTCTCTCAAAACTGTTCTTCAATGCAACAAATCAATTTTCTTACAGAAATCTTGGGGTCATCAGGTTTATTTCCCAGATGCCGGAGCCTTGAAAGATGCACTTATTTCTCTTCCAATTATGTCTCAGCTACATGATGGCTCTGTTTCTGGCTGCGCCAACTCTCTAAGACCAGAATCCCAAGGACTATGAGGACCAGGACAGCCAACCCCATCCTGATGAGATTCTCCACTGTGTAATCCTTGATTTCTGAGGCTGTGGACAAAGAAGTTACAGAGGTTTGGTATGGTCACAATTTCCTCAAGGTACCTATGTCCCCAGGATAACTAAATGTCCATCCAGGACCCTAAAATCCCTGGACAAATCTTTGAGTCTCTGTTTCTAGTGCTGTGATTTTTGAATTCTCTTTATCCAACTGTCTTGGGTTTGGGCATGTTCTATGGACTGCTAATCTGAACTGATCCTGAGAGCAGAAGAAGGTAAGTAGGTTGTGGGTGTGATTAAGAGATCTGAGTGTTTCTTCTGAATCCCACTTTCTCATTTACTGTAAATACTCATCATTCTCATCATGCAAACTCACAAATTTTGGGATGAATCTTTCTGCTGGCGAGGTAGGTTCCCTTTGCTATTCTTTTTAAAAATACATTTAATTATTTTTTAATTTACATCCTAGCTGCAGTTTCCCTCTCCCACCTTTTTCTACAAGTCTGTATTTCATACACACTGTTCCCTTCCACAAATCCACACCTTCTCCATTTTTGTTTGGGAAAGAGCAGGTCTCCCATGAGCATCAAAAAACATGGTATATAATGTTTTGGTAAAACTAAGCACCCCCCGCCCCCGTGTATTAAGGTTGGGCAAGGCTACCCAGTATGAGAAGTAGGTTCACAAAATCCAGGAAAAATATTGTAGACAGCCCTTTTTACCACTAAGAGTTCTTATTAGATTCTTCAGCACCACAGTGAAACCAGAAAATTCAGAGTAGAATAACTTGACAATATAGGACATTGATCCATGGGTCTCTGCTCTGAGCAGCTGCAGCGGTGTCTGAGTTTGGTGTCTCTGGTCAGCTCTACAGAGGTCGTGCAGATCCAGGTGCTCAGTCTAGGATGATTTCCTCAGTGGGTTATTGCTGAGTGTGTGTTCCCTTGTCACATTTAGACCTCCCATCTCTCCTGATATCTGAGCCTTCTCCTGAACTGTTCTGAGGACCCAGGGACCACTGAGGGGTGGTTGAGGAGAAACTATATTATAGTTTCCCTGAAATGAGAAATAGTTTATGCTGATCCTGAGAAGCTGTGTCTTGTTGCTAAATTTTCCCTGATGTTTCTCCCCACAATAGAGGAAGAAGTTTCTCTTTGTCTAGATCAGGTAGGAGCACAGGCTTCTGATGTAAATTTTTGTTCATCAATTTTATTTATTTCACCTATAATGTGGGAAATGCAGGACCAAGGTGTGGGGCAGTGAAATGCAGAGAGTTCTGTAGTCCTGGTTCTCGAAGAATAGTGAAGTCTGTCTGTCTGTCTGTCTCTGTCTCTGTCTCTGTCTCTGCCTCTGTCTCTCTCTCTCTCTCTGTGTGTGTGTGTGTGAGAGAGAGAGAGAGAGACAGAGAGAGACAGAGACAGAGACAGAGACAGAGAATCATGAAAGAGAGCAGATGCTAAGCCAGT